GCAGGTGACCTGTCTCTCTCCTCTCCTTGGCAGTCAGGGTCTGTGAGGGCACCAGGTGCGGCCACTCTTCCAGACTCTTTAGGGGGGTAACTCAGTGCTCACAGCAGTTCCAAGAGTCAGGGATGCTCACTGTTCCCAGTACAAGGGGTCACGTAACTGGCTTCAGGTCACACAGCCGATCCAGGACTTTGATTGTAAATCTTTTAGATTCTAATTTCTCTTAGCAACAGTCTGTACCTCCGTGTTCCTTTGTGAAGGGCTCGTTTGGAACTCTATGATCACAGGGCAGCATTTCTCTTTGGGACCTACCTTCAGTCTGAAGATCATGCTGACCGGAAAGAGTAAATAGAGACGTGGAACTTCAAGTTCCTTCGGTGGCTGTTGAATAAGCGTCTGGAAGATGTTGGTGATACTTTGCTAGGCGCTCCCGAGAGCGTGGCGGACGGAGACGTTGTCAGGGTGTGGCAGGAGTCTGACATCTCACGTGTTGGTGCGGGGCCTGCAGTCTCATGACGACCCGAGGGGTGGGGATGCCGTGGATGTGTCACCTGGGAAGGAGAGCGAGAGCTCCCTGCGGGTGGGGCAGTGTGCGGTGCTGGGAGGGTGCTGGGACGTGAGGAGCGTTTGGAGAAGGAGTGCAGTATTTTCTGGGAGCATTCCTTTGACATTGAAATTAGCTGCAGTGCCATTGGGATAAACTTTTAAAGGAAGCCACAGATGCGATCAGTATTTCTTAAGATGCATAGATAACGGATGGAAACGGAAATGTCCTTATACAGGGATTTTTGACTTGATGGCATAGCAGAATGTGCTGATGTGAGCTCATGAGCTATGGTTTAAGTTAATGGTTGTAAGAGTAACCTGCTTTTATTTCATGTGTCCTCAAATGCTGGTCTGTAATACGGGAAATGAACAAAATAAATGTAATGAGGTGAGTTTTCCTTAAAACTATATTTTTTCAAAGTGAGACATTATCCTTAATCCTGAAATGATGGCTTTCCTTTTTTTGATATTTAAAAGTCATTATTTTCTGAAATGAAGGTAATTGTAGAGGATAGTTTATTTTTTTCCTTTCTTTTCCTTTTTCTCTTTTGTGTCTCTTTTTTTCTCTCTCTTTCTCTGCAGCCAGTCCTCAAACCCGGCACTGCTATGTCAGCCACACTCATGTGACACACTAAATCAGCGGTTCTCAACCTGTGGGTCGAGACCCCTTTGGCGATCGAACGATCCTTTCACAGGGGTCGCCTAAGACCATCCTGCATATCAGATATTTACATTATGATTCATAACGGTAGCAACATTACAGTTATGAAGTAGCAACGAAAATAATTTTAGGGTTGGGTCACAACATGAGAAACTATATTTAAAAGGCCAGAAGGTTGAGAACCACTGATCTA